ATTATTTTAGCCTTAAAACACACATTGCAAGTTAAATGGGAGCATCTAAAAAAGCGTCATTTATGACACGTCTTTGGACATGTTTAACAAAATTATTATTATAAATCTATTATTGCTTCTTCTTCTTTTTTTTGGGGGGGGGGGGGTTCCAAATAAGTACCTTTTTATTTCAGGCTGCGTTGACAATTGAAACTGGTTTCCAGTCCATTGATATCAAACATGATAGGTTGCTGGGAACCAACCTATCATGTTAACATGCAAAAGAGAAGAACAACTTTTCGTACGGTGCGTAGACGCACCGTTGGAAAAGCCTTCTTTCGTTGATTACTTCAAAATGACAGCTTGCCAGAAAGAATAATTTCACAGGGAGTTTAGTCCACTTACTATCTTTCAACCAAGTATGTTTTCCAACAATAATTACGCCAGTTACTTTTCGGATGGCTGCAAATGATGGACTATAGCTTTAACGGAAAGCGCGCGCAACTGAACGGAGAGCGCGCAATTTGCGCTAAAACGGATAAAAGAAACACTTTTTAACAACGTGCAATGGCCCTTCAGTGCAACAAATAAAATGTATTCATAAAAAGTATATGGTCTTTCTCAGTTCAAAATTCGTTCGGAAAAGAAAATTGAATTTTTGAAAAAGCACTGACACACTAACTTTAATTAATTAAATTCAATTTTGAATGAGGAGCGTCCTAAGTACAAGGAATTAAAAGATTCCACGAACTCAATGACCAACACAAAACAAACAGAAATATGCAGATATATTTTTTTCAATATTTGCATAATGAAACAAAAAGTGACACTTCAACTGGACGTACTGGCGCGTATGACTATCGTAAGTCACCTCTCCACTAGTAGAGGTGGTTTTTTTTTTTTATCGTAAATCCATGTCCTACGAGTGCGTATAAGTTGTGATGGTGCAACAGGTTTTTCCCATTTCTTTCGGTTGCACCAAACTTGTCTTACGCCATATGTAGGAAGTTAGTACATGTCGTAATACATCCATGGTGCAACCCATTTTCGTTCGTAACTTTACGACAGCACTTAGGCCTAAGACCGTTGGTGCAACTGGGCCCTGGTTTGTTGTAAGACTGCACGGAGGGGAATTGGTTTCACGCGAGCGACTCGAAGCTAATGTTTCCGAATGATCAAACCACAAATGCATGAACAATGGTTCACCATGGAAAAGTTACTCAAAGGTACTTTCTTTACTTTTGGTTGCAACGCACTATTCACAATTCGCTCTCCCGCCGTTACGTAACTCAGTTTATTTGTGAATGTGAAGTTCTCCGCTTTTGTTCCAATATCGCGATACAAAGAGCGAACAGGGCACACACCGCTTTACCCGATCAACCTGTATTTGGACGGTGTTCGGGTCTGTTGCATTGGAAGCGAAATACGGTATTGAAATTAGAACAGAAACGCCCCAGCATGTACACTTTTTCCAAGCCCCTTCTAAATTATAGAACAACCTACTGTTCATAAACTTGGCAGGGATGTGATAGGTTCATATCTTCCGCATATACGATTACTGCCTTTTTTTTTAAAACCATAACGGATATGATGAACTTTTTGTTTTCTGAAAACAAAGTTCTTCCCCCTTTATCGCAGCATTGTGTAAAACACGAATCAATGTCTTCGATGGCATGAGGCCTAGCGAGTTGATAAACTCAAGATTTTTAGTGGAGTACATGCATTTGGAACTTGCTGGAATTTTACTTACTGAGAAAAATAATCGGTAAAGACCTTGGCCCTGTTAAGATGCCACAGGTGAATAGGGACCGTGATACATGCGCAACGGATATGGGGGGGGGGGGGGGGGGGTAGCAGCCATGTCCCTACCCCCTCCCCCCCAAAAAACCCACCAAATTCATTTCATTTTTAAAAGTGACGTCGCAAAAAATGCAGCCAATGCGTACAGCATTATAATTGCGGTACCATGGGCCTCATTCACGAGATGGCCATTTTTGTCGAGTTCCCTGAATGTATTTCATTAATACAGAAGTTAACTGTTGAATGGGTTGGCGCCAGACTTTTTATGCAGGCACAATGCAGCCTTATTTTACTGGCATTTAAAAAAATGCTTTGAAACATTAGGGAATGTTAAATTACAAATGTAAAAATTTTTCATTGAAGAAGACTGGAATTTATTATACATTAGCTAGCTTTCATTTTCTCTTCGCAAGTTCAAAATATTAAGATTTTACCTAACTTTCAATTCAATATGGCCGACTCGTGAATAAGGCCCATGCACTAGTCTTAGCTCCCCCTTGCTTTTCATATCAAATTTGGGGCCGAACATTTTGTACCCACTTTTTCGGGTAACGAAAAAAATGTTTGGTCCACCCTAAAAAAAACCCCACTATGTTCTGGATTTGTCCAAATCAAAAACATAGTGTTTTTTTTTTAGGGTGGACCTAACATTTTTTGAAACGAATTGTTGATTGCGAGAAGGGAAACAAAAGAGGAAAAGTTTGAGAGAGTGGTGGTTCCTCCATCGAGAGTGAAGCTGAGTACTGCAATTCGGCGTAACAATGAATGCGTTAACAATTACGTAACAGAGTGCGATGTCAATGGTGTAACGCCCGATGTTGAAAGAGAAAGTAAGGCGTGTTTCGTGGTACCGTATTGAATGGAAAGAATTCTATTGCCGAGTACATTGTTCAATGACGATCATTTGTGGTGATACTACGTTATGACGTAACGCTTTGTTTAAAAGTGCGCTTTCCTGTGAGAGCTGGCTCTCATAGGAAAACGCACCTGTAACCAAAGCGTGACGTCATTACGTCTCCTGACTATTGAGGGCACTGTTTAAGTTTAACGGTCAAGCCTACGCTGGTTTGGTTTGGGGGTTAACCGTACGAAAAGTAGTTCGCGCAAAATTATCGTTTCGGCGACGTTGTTCGCCGAAACAGCTACTGTGAATTACTTCTTTTTAAAACAAGGATTACAGATACAGGGGGTTAGTTGCTGTTTGTGATTTAGAAAGATTGTACATGATTACATAATGATTAGTGTGTAATGACGATCACTGTTGTGTGATTATTTTTACCGGCTTGATTGAGGGCGCTATTCAACTTTAACGGTGAAGCTTACGCGCAGTTTCGTTTGGGAGTTAAACGTACGAAAAGTAATTCGTGCATAAATGATTTGCTTTGCGAATTGGTAATGTAGTTCGCCAAAACAACTCTTGTTAAAATGCGTGTGTTCATATTAGGATTGAAATTAGGAACTGCCGCATTTCTTTGATTTTCATTTCTAACCGACCCTAATTTTAGCCAGCTCCCGACCAGACAAAAAAAACCTTAAAAGAAAAGAAAAGAAAACCCTCTAGAACCCCATTCGCCGTGGAAATTATGTTTAGGGAATCAGGCTCTGTGATATTTGAAGTGATTGAAAATTAAAATCGATTTACGCGAAGTATACGGTATAACAACCAGTGGAATCCCAGAGAGGACGCCTCTCATTACATAGGTGTCTATATGAGTGCAGACCTGCAAATCGACTCCCATCATAGACCTGAGTGATGATTAAAAACAAATTACTCCAAGGTGTTTGAGACATGCACCCACCAAATCAAAGCTTATTTCATAACCTTTTATTTTCTGTTCAATTTTTGTTCATTATTGTCCGATGACTTATGGTAGAAAGTTCCATCAAAGGATGTCAGACCTAAATTAGTCCGGTGGCCCATCGCAACTTTGAAAAAAAAATGATGCCGGCCCGCGCTCTATTTTAGGGCCCAATTTCATGCTATCACAGAAATACGAGCTCACACTCCTGTGTCCGGCTTACACCTATCTTTGTTTTTTTTAAACATCAAGTTCAAGGCCCACAACGCCCTTGCCTGATAGAAAAGGATTTAAGCAAACAAATTGTGACTTGGCCTGCATATTATACTTATGTGTGTCGTGCATGGGTGCCACTGAACCAAACTCATGATACAATCATGATATTTAGCCCTGAAAACATGTGGGAAAGCTCGAGGTGTCCGTGAATCATTGGGCTGCATGCCGCCGATTAATGTGTCTTCAACAAGTTCGAAGAAATTCCCAAAAATTAGAGATTATGGTTGTTAGTGTATGATTATGATATGTCTACGTCAAAATGTTTATTACGGGTAGTAAATTTGGGGATTAGTGTAAATTTATAACCCTCGGATCTGAACAGCGCCCCATTCAAGTATGGTACGAGCCCCCCCCCCCCGATGACCCCCCCCCCCTTCCTCTGCGAAAATTCCTGGATCCGCCCCGTGTCATTGGGCAAGACACTTTAATCCAGTAGCAAAAAGGGACCCATGCAGCCGGAGATGATCTTAATTTATGTTTGAAGTTTACTGCTTACACTGAAATGCTGGTGAAGCTGTTACACCTCTTCGTTTTATATACCTTATAAATTTTGGACTAGGGAAAAAAAATAAGGGGATAAAGAAAAACAAAAAGTTATGTGGTGTTGACCAAGCATTCAGGGGTCGCGATTGGTTACCGACTCCCATATAGGGCTCTTCCTGGGTCTCGGATTCCCCGGCCCACCACACCTCCTTCCCTATCCATCCATGTAACCCCGGAGGGCCAAGCACCGTTAAGGGAGGAAACGAGGCGACACCCTATGCCTTGCTGCCGAGACAGCAAAAGAGCCCCGTACCTATGAGTAGATGCATAACCTGGACTTCGCAGACAGTCCCAGCCGGCGACTTAACTCATGGAGCTAAGGTCGGTTGGTGTTTGACGACGCGAAATTAAGACTCTTAAAGTAAATGACAGAGCGCGTGTATTGAAACCAAAAAATTACACCGACAGGACTCGAACCCCGGACCCTGGAGTCTGTGGCCAAGGAGCCTAACCACCAGGCCAATTAGTTAGACGGTTTTTGAACCACCGAGTCTGAATTATACTTTGAAACGCAATGTATCTGCAGTGGAACAGCGCCCTCCATATATTTTTCGCTTACAGATACAAACCCAGACGTCTCTTATTTGGGCTATGAAAAACATTCAGCGTTTTTGTGGGTAAGCTTTGCATGTGTAATGCACCCGTCTTATATTTATGCAATGCTAAAAGTTACGTGAAGAAGTGGTCGCAAGAAAATTAGGTAATTATAGCAGAATTTCTTTGAAACGTTAATTTTGTGGAAAGTATTGGGTAATGAGTTGATCGTGAAGGACTGAGACATTAATCTGGGACTTAGAAACATTTCCAATTGTGTTAGGAAATACTTTAAAAAATGTTCTTGACTCTCCATAGACTTTGTACACAACCATTGACAACCGCTGACGTGACATGGTTGAAGTTACTCCTAGAACTATGAGGCTCCACGTAGTGGAGCCTCATAGGTTCAGAACCCCGCAAAATTGTTGTCAGCACAAAACACTAATTAAGTACAAAAACGTCCATCCCAACGAAGCCGTTTCCCACAGAACCGCTGCACAGTTTGCCCCTAAACTCCGTACAATACCTCATGACATACTCACGCTATGTGCACCCAACAAACATCGGTGGATTCTGTCGGTTTTTTGCAAAAATGATGGAAAATATGCCCTTTCCGCACTGAGCAAACCTAACACTTGAAATTTGCACCCGCGCAGAATGATCGCAGTCATTTTCGGTCCGATCGCTCGGAGCGCGCCGCGGGGGTATGGTGTAGGAGCGGAACGATAGTATGCGCATGCGTACAAGTGCGAGTACGTACCCCCAGTGGCGCGCTCCGAGCTATCGGACCGAAAATGACTGCGATCATTCTGCGCGCGTGCAAATTTCAAGTGTTAGGTTGGCTCAGTGCGGAAAGGGCATATTTTCCGTCATTTTTGCAAAAATCCGACAGAATCCACCGATGTTTGTAGGGTGCACATAGCGTGAGTATGTCATGAGGTATTGTACGGAGTTTAGGGGCAAACTGTGCAGCGGTTCTGTGGGAAACGGCTTCGTTGGGATGGACGTTTTTGTACTTAATTAGTGTTTTGTGCTGACAACAATTTTGCGGGGTTCTGAACCTATGAGGCTCCACTACGTGGAGCCTCATAGTTCTAGGAGTAGGTTGAAGTGGCGTCAGATTTTTCCAATTCCATTATTTTTAAAAGATCCGCTCTACGGCTCTAGCCTCATAAATGTCAATGTGGCCAATTTACTGGACTTCCTCCGTAAATAAAAGCCACACTTGGACATGTACCCGAAAATGTAAAACTTTGTCAAGTTTTTATTTTCTCATTTACTATACTATTTAGACTTTGTTTGTCATGTTTTTTTTTTGTATTTGTAGTTTACGCTAGATTAGAAATAGAAGCACACTCACCCTAAATAAAGCGATAGAAATATTAGTCCCCCTTTTTTTCAGACGTCTATTTTTGGTGTAATTTTGTGTTGGAATTTAGATACACTAATGTGTGCAAAGCGTAAATAAACTACAAACAAATTCTAAATGTGAAATAAAAACTTGACAAAGTTCTACATGTTCGGGTACATGAACCAAGTGTGGCCGTTAGTTACGGAGGTCGCCCAGTAATTTGGCCACATTTATGGGGCTAGATCCGCTCCACCTCCAACTAAACAGCTTTATACACTGGAGTTCCTTCCTCACTGCAGGGTGACCATTTTTGCCGAATTTTGGCTAAATTTGACAGCATTTTTGGAAAAAAAACCCCGAGTTTCACAAAAAATTTAGTAGAATGATTTTTTGTAGCAGACTTCTAAGCAGAATTCTGTAAAATTGGTGGTCTGACAGAAAAATACGGCAGATTTGAAAAATATATTTTTTTTTATTAAAAGACAAGTTCTTTAGACCATTGCAAGAAATGCAAGCCAGGCTAAACATGTGCAACAATTATAATAAGGGAATAAATGTGTGCTCCGGAGGTTTTTATCACTCGTTTAATACCGCTTAGAGTCTGGGTGCTGATAATTACCCGAGCCGGAGGCGAGGGTAATTATCAGCACCCAGACTCTAAGTGGTCTTAAACAGAGTGATAAATACCGACCGAGCACATATTTATTCCCATTCATAAATACCTTATCCTTAAAAAAATATCAAATAATTCGTTCAAAAAATCCCGATTTTGTTCAACAAGTTCACTTCATGCTTTTTGAAACATCCCTCTAGCAAAATAATGGAGTGTTCAGCTGGCGAGTAAGATGTAAACAACCCTTTTATGGAGATTGACGCGCGTGTAACATGTTCTGCGCGATGTCACGCAGAACGCACCTGGGGCGTTGCGTTTTGAATTTAGAACTATAAATTTCTGACTCGCTTGTAGTGTTGCGCATGCCTACGTGAGGATTGTGAACGTTCAACCAATGAAACGGTAAGAGGCACTGAATTTTTAGGAGTCCACATTTTATTGTGACACTGGAAAAGTGTTTAAGACCAGCTAGCCATGTCTTTATCATCCGTTTAAGACTGGCCACGTGACGGGCTCTCGACCAATAGGAATAGCTAAACTGTCTGAGGTATTTATGAATTTCTTTTTAAATTCAATACTATTCCAAAAGTCAAGATAGTAAAAACACACAATACAAGAAAATAGACTGGCACATGTGCATGAAATGACCAGTCCAACAACCCTTTAGTACTGCGTCAAAAGAAACATCTGGTACCAGTCTGCATTTCTACACATTCCCTCCATAGTCATCAGAGGTCATGTGACCAGACTACTGAAGGGTCAATCTTCTCAAAAAGTTGGACATGTACATGTACCAGTCTGGTCTAAGATTCACTCTCAGGTGCAAAATGTTTAATAATGAAAAGTCTCCTTTAAAAATCGAATTCAGACCTCAAACTTGGCTGGGGAAATACTGAGGACCTTGTCTGAAAAAACTGAAAAGTTTGGAGAATTTTCTCGGCTAAAGCGTGAGTAAAGTCGGCCAGACTTTGTTGTGCTTGTTTTTCTGCACTCAAGGTCCCAGTCGGTATGTTGACCAAAGTTTGAGAATGTGGGACGATAAAATAGTTAAATGCTGATTTGGTATGCTTTAAAAATGTCCAGTTGATTGCTTCGTTTTTCTACAGCTGGTGAAAATGGCAGGACAGCTTGGTCGTCTCTTTGTTCTTCCCCTCAATCCAGCTGTAACCATCTCGAGTTGCCTTCCACACAGGAGCCACCACAGCTTACAGAATATCAGAAAAGGAGTGGCACTTATCCGGACGTGTTTGCATAGTGTACCCAGAAACGCATGCACCGCAAGAACCCAAACATGCCTCGCCCACGGCAATTCAAGTCAAAACTTTGCGAGGAACTCTCTGTTGGGAGCACACCGTTTCTGCCACACGGCGAAGAATGTTAACAGACCAGATGGGGGAATTCTCTCAGTTGGAATTCTGGCAAGCAGGACACTGTATGGTGCAGGTTTGAGACGTGCCTCCCCTGGATTGGTAAGGGCCGGTTCAGTGCTGAGCTGCCGTTGGATCTCCAGTGGGCAGAGGGAAGCATGGCGACATCGGAACAAGTCAGTGATGCTGTACGGAGTGGCGTTGGTCATACTTGTGACGGGGTTCTCGTACGCAGCTGTGCCTCTCTACGCAGTCTTCTGCCAGGTTAGTATCTCCAGGCTGAGTGTTGAACTATTAACATGCAGCCTCGTAGACTAAAGTCCCACCCCCAGAAAGGACTAGTATGTGAGGGATGTAGGTGAGAGCAGTAGGGCCTACTAAAGCTGTAACTGAAGAGTGCCAATAAGAAAAGTAAAGTTATGCACTTTCACCACAGAATGTATACCTTGTGTCTATAAGCCCTTTCACACTAGAGCCTCTCAACCCGGGTTGAACTCAACCCTGGGCAGACACAGTGCCGCCCCGGGTTGAGTTTTTGATTTTTCAACCCCGCGTTCAACCCCGCATCGTTTCACACTTGTTTCATGCAAATCAAGCTTATCATGCTCAGTTACTACTGTTTCGAACCTTGGCAAGAATTCAACCTGGGTTGAAAATCTCACAGGGTTAACGCAGGGTCGAAATTCTTCAAGTGTGAAACGATGCATGTTTTCAACGCTGCGTCAACCCTGTGTCAACCCCGAGATTTGTCTAGTGTGAAAAGGGCTTTTAAAACGTTTTACATTTTCTTCTAGACCTCCACCAAGGAGGTAATGTTTTCACCGGCGTTGGTTGGTTGGTTGGTTGGTTAGTGTGTTTATCTGTGAACATGATAACTCAAAAAGTTCTGGATGGATTTTCATGCAATTTTTTTAGGGGTGGTCCTTGGTACAAGTACAAATTGATTAGATTTTGGAAGAGATAGGGGTCTGCGTGTGGATGCACAATTTTTTTTTACAGAGTTTTTTCACCCAAATATATGCATGTAAAACTTTCACCAGAGTGCTCCGTGCACAGGTTCGTGTGCTCGGCACTCACCCGGTGACCCTGTATGCCTTGTAACCCACCGTATCTAACCACACAGGTCAACGGACCATACCATCTACAGTGGGGCAGTGGAAAAGTAGACCAACACAGGCATATAGATACAAAATGTTTGAGTTTAAGGATGTTTGAAATGTGCAATGAAATATGGAAGTCCAGTGGATATGCAAGGCTGTATTGGTGCACTAAAAATGAGGCAAGGAATTGGTCAGCCTTGGCCGAGGCGTGCGCTCTCTGAGTGCTTTTCAGTTTGAAGCTTTTAAGGAACACCAGGTCCTGGAACAGCCCAATTGGGCTACAAAACGCGCTTTGAACGAGATGATGTTCATTGGAAATAACATTTAAAAGTAGAATATAACATCCACACAACTATCCTTTCAAAACTGGGTGTTTTTTGTGTTATTCCTGTATTATGTGTGCGAGAATGAATTTCGGGGTCCACTTTTGCGACCCCATAAATTCGAGCTGTTTGGATGCTAGTTGTGATTTCATTCGTAAAGTGTTCGCCTTTTGCGGACGTTGAAGAGATCACTTTTTTTTGCATTGGTGATTGGTCACCGCTGTTCCTGAGACACACGTGTATATCGTACACTGAGAACGACACGAAAAACGTATCCGTACTCTGTCATGTCCGATGTAAACAAGCAGGTTTTTTTCCGTCTTTTCTCGGGAGTGGTAAGACATAAGTTTGTTTTCCTTTCAACCAGATGTTTGAAATAGGCTAAGTAAACAATCCAAAACATAAAATTTTCGAGATTTCAGGACCTAATGCCCCTTTAAAACCTTGGAGTGGTTTTCGCAGATCTGCCCCTTGTTGAAAAGTTAACTATTAAATCAAAACGCAAATGAAGCAGACATTCATTTAATACAGGAAACGGGAAAAAGTGTTACATACATTGCAGAATTTTACTGTCGACCTTTTTTGTATCCCCAACAGGCAACTGGTCTCGGAGGTCAGGCAACCAAAGGTCACAACATTGACCTGGTTGAGGAGATGGTACCAGTCCGTGGTCGGCCCATCTCAATCCGCTTCAATGCTGACACCGCCGCCAGCATGCGATGGAACTTCAGACCACAGCAGTTGGAAATTAAGGTAAAAAACCCGAAAGGCTTTCCAGGGTTCGGGGCAAAATTTATAACTCAGGTAGCCAACTTACCCACTGTGACCTAAAAATCCATCTGCCCAACCTGGCTGAGAAATATTTGTAAATAATGAGGTTTGAAAGAGGAGGGTCCAAATTCATGGGTTTGCCGTAAAGCAGAACAGATTGCTTTGTAAGATTATTTGTGAAAGAGCAGTATTCAATTTCAAGGGTCAGTTAAGCGGATAATAGTGCACAGTATCATGTGCTCAGCCAAAATCAGCTGGGAAGTAGCCACAAGCATTATGGGCTCCGTGCACAAGTACCCCTTCAACGACAGGAGAGTTGGGGGAGACCTAGACTGGTTCTCGGTCCAGCCACTGCGTATTACGAATGATTCCAAGTTATTGGGGACGGGGATTTAGTCTGGGAGACCATCACAAGTTATATATGAACAACGTCTGACGCTCATGCGAAGCCTGACGCTTTGGCACATTCAGGAAGTCCTGCATACTTCGCACATGAATTAGTACAGTACATACGCACACGCTGTGTGTCCCATCCATGGGGCTCTTAAAAGTGGTACAAATTCGCCCCCTTTTGTTGGCGCATGGAGCCCATACATTCTGGTAGACTTCTTTGCTACACAGCTTCTCAATACATCTGTATTTGCCCTAATTGGCCATTTCGCACTCCATTTTCAAGGGCACGACAACCATGAAAAAAATTCAGACCGTTCCATTTTCCTCAGTTTACCCCCGACCCATGTGCCAAAATCAAAAACTTAGATCGGAAAGATTTTGATGCCAAGCCACTTTTTCTTTACATATAGACATCAAGGGCGTCCAGCCCTTTCAAAGTTAGTTCAAAGAAAATATGCCATTCTAAACAGTTGAGGAATTTGAAGAAATTCATCAGTGCTTCTCTCAGTAGTAAGGGATAATGGAAATAATGTAAAACACATGCCTCTCTTCTTCAGGTTGTGCCTGGTGAGACTGCCTTGGCCTTCTACTCGGCCGTCAATCCCACGGACAAGCCCATCACGGGTATCTCCACCTACAACGTGGTGCCGTTTGAGGCCGGCCAGTACTTCAACAAGATCCAGTGCTTCTGCTTTGAGGAGCAGAGACTGAATCCTCGCGAGCAGGTACAAATACAAGATCTACTTTTGCAAGATTCGTTATTTAAAACGCAAGATTCGTTACATTTTTTCGGTGCCTCAAGATACAAGTGTGTGCAGTGAGTAGTATTATGGTGTGAATTGCAACTTTTGCAAGCGTCAAAAATATGTTTTGTTTTCGCATGTGGCCTGGTTTTCATTTTAAAAATTCTCCACAAATGACAATTGACATTCAAAAGCTATTTTTTGAATTGTCAGAGAAGTAACAAAGTAATATGTAAAGTTGGTTGGGGATACTCGATTCCATAATCTGGAACCGTCAACGGTCGGGTACTCGGGTACCTGGTTCCGATGCACAGCCCTATTTTAAGCACATAATATTACATGTGGTTGGGTCTGTGAATATGATGCCAATGGTTTTTAACAATAAAAGTAAACCCTCCTTTTGAGTCAGAACAGTCTAAAAATTCATGCTGTCCACAATTGCCATTGAAATGGGAGACATTTCACATAATGGGTTGTATGAAGATGGGAGTAGGTTACCAAAGTACATGTATCATGCCTCGTTTTGAAGAATTGCCCCTATTGAGGTGAAACCAGTTTTGGCTTGAGTCCCTGTGCTATCCTGTACTGAGAATTCTGTCTTTTCTTATCCGGTTGGCGCAAACTTTCTGAGCAATAACTTGCAATTCTGTGTGTCAACATTTTAAGTGACAACTTTCTTAGCACTGGATGTTGACCGTAATCGCAGTTGAGTGAAGATGAAAGTGGGACCTGACCTGTTCATCCCAAGGCTCTGGAATTGTAGTCCTTACTCCTTAGGTCTTGGATTCGAGTCCAACTTAAATCCAGTTTCCCTCATCCAGATTGGCTTCACAAATTTGATGGCTGAACGTGATACTCACTGGGTTTATTTTCGCCCTTGCAGGTTGACATGCCGGTGTTTTTCTACATCGATCCTGAGTTTGCTGAGGACCCCAAGATGGCTAAAGTGGACTCTATCACCCTCTCCTATACGTTCTTTGAGGCCAAGGAAGGACTGGTCTTGCCGGATCCGTTCACAAGACCTGCCGAAGCAACGGCTTTAAACACTGCTTAACAGTTTTGAGTGCTGTTGTTGGCAAAAATTGCCAGAGTAATATAATAGTCAACTACAATACATCACGTGACATTTTGTACCAGTTACTTGGTTTTGCTATAAAATAGCAATCTCTTCATTCAGGAAACAATATCGTAGAGATCTTCTAAATAGAATATACTGCTTATCAAGTTTTCGTTAACAGCGAAAATCTGCAGAGTACCCGTTATTACAGAAGTACATATATACATTACATATTTTGGTTGGTAATCCAGTTTTGCCTTAGTCTATGGAATTTCCGCTTACACACAAGTGCCTGACGATATGCGTGCAGATTAGTTATGCAAAACTACATCGCAGCTTGGCCTCCAGACCATTCAGCGGGCGCCTTCTATCAAGTCTTCTGTAACCCGTTGTTTGTATTACAAAAACATGGCAGCAAATTGACCAATCAACAGCTTATTTCTAACATCAACTCCGATTGGCTGGCGCTCAGGGTCCAATAAATTTGCATTGCACACACGTATCGGACGTTGTTGCGGAGATAGTGTGCAGGCTCCTTTGAACAATGGATGACACTCTGACTAGAGTTGCCGCTATTCAATTCTGGGCTTAAAGATATAGTCCATCATTTGTAAGTTGTGCATTTTGTTCGTTTGAAGCAACAAAAGTGCTCGAAATCTAAAGAAGGGTACTGAACAACTATTACCTGATGAAGTTTCAGCTCAGCTTCAGCTGTATATTCCGAGAAAAACAGCATTCTAGGATCTCAATTTCAAATCAAAAGTTGCTGAATCATGTTTTGAATTGGGCCTGAATTCAGCGTCCGAGACACGTTCTCACTGAGCCGATTGCAGCTACGCGATGTCGCGCACTGATCCGACGAATTATAGCAACCGCGTGTGCGTGTGCGTCGTGCCAATGCTTGCGCGCGCTTCGCTGAATAACAAAATGAACTACTAATTTAAATTTCCAACGGTGTGTCTTAAGAAGCACCGTTGGAAAGGCCTTCTTTTGTTGATTACTTCAAAATGACAGCTTGCCAGAAAGAATAATTTCACAGGGAGTTTAGTTCCCTTACTATCTTTCAACCAAGTATGTTTTTCAACAATAATTATGCCAGTTACTTTTCGGATAGCTGCAAATGATGGACTATGGCTTTAATAGCGGCTTCATGAAAATGGTCATAGATGATATTTTATGTTCACATTTACTCTCTGTGCAAAAATGTGGAAAACAGACTGCTCGGCAAGTGTTGCCATGTTACTAGGGTTGGGTAGCCTGGTATAAAGACCTGACTCTTTAAGCAAAACCTGAGATAAAGTTTTATGACATTTCGAGGTTACATTTTTTTTTCCTTTTGTCCAGGGTGAAAGAAATTGGTTTGTAGCAATATAGATAATATACATGTAGATAATCTAATTGAATTTTCTTGTACATGTCCATGTATATTGTTTTGTGTTGAGACATAGAGAACATGTAAAATTTTCATTTGATTATGTTGGGAGAAATTTTTTACGAAAGACAATATACTGTATTGCTAGATTCATGTTTTTGTACATGTTCTGTTTTTGTGGTCACTGTTTAAATAAGTATACGTATTTGCAAATAAAATAAACTCTTGGACTGAAAACTATTAGTGTTGTTTTGTAAGTTTATAAATTCTCCAGGAGAATTTAAGCTTTTCAGTTCTTCAAGCATGCTACTGGAAGTCACAAAAATGAGGACAATTTAAGCTTTAAATGCAATCCGCATTTTTTTTTTCAATGTCAATGGCATACCATAGAAGTTAAAACAAGTGCGAGTGCACAATAAACTCTGGCCATGTTGCAAGAAATCTTACATGAAATCGATCAAAATGAATAGCCAGAGCTCAAAAATGCAACGTTGACGGCACATATGGAGAACCATACTTTTGGTCAATCTTTGGGGACAGACAGACAGACCGACCACCAAGTGACATGTAGAAGCTCCTGCCAGAGCTTAAAAAGGGAGGAAATCGGCTTTTCTGGGGAAATTTAAACTTGCCTGAATAACTCTCATTGGTCCTCATCCCTACTTAAAATCGCATCTACCCGGTACCGGACTAGTCCTGCATTTAAGCCTTTATACCAGTAGCTGTGAACTCCACAAGTTTTGACTCGTTAAATTGGGTTGTGTTGGAGTACGTGCGAGCTGCATGATAAAAGACTCTTATTTGAAGTTCAGCTGTTTTGGTCGTGTTATTACCTCCGCCAAGGAGGTTATGTTTTCACAGGCGTTGTTGGTTTGTTTGTTGGTTGGTTGGTTGGTTTGTCTGTGGACAAGATAACTCAAAAAGTTTTGGATGGATTTGCACGGAAATTTGTGTAGGGGTGGTCCGTAGTAGAAGTACGCATCATATTAGATTTTGGAAGTGATCCGGATTCAGAACTTTTTAAGGATTCTACATCATTTTGTGCGTATATACAGACCATGAAATTGGGCCACCCCTCCTCACTTGGCCACAGTGCAAGTTACAGATCCTGTATGTTACATAAATCATTATACACTAGGCCAATGCTCACTGGTCCCTAAAGAGACCCAGCAGCTAGCGAGCCCCCTGTGTTAATACCCCCCTAATGTAAACATTGACCCTAGATGCACTTTGTTATTCTGTATTCAAGAAGTGAACAATACATTAACCCTATTACAATGTACATTCCCAAATCCTCTGTGCAAAATGGAGGATTGCAGGATTGAGGCTATATAGCAAAAAAGTGTGGCTGATTTTGGAGGATGCACTGTGTCAAGGTCTTGAACTGGAATTTGTGTTGTTCATCCTCAGCCTAGCCGCTCATAAATTTGGATGTCACTGGCTCTAGCTGCCTCAGCATTTTGACAGTGATTGCTGGCAGTGGCGCACCCAAGATTTGGCTTGGGGGGGGGGGCCTCACTATTTTTTTTTCAAATTGTTTAGAAATGTTTTCCCTTGCCGAAAATCTTTGGCCCCAGAAACGGTTAATGGACTTGAGTCCGAGTCCTGGACTCCAGTCCAACAACACTGCATTAACTGCTAGACAATCATTCGGCTCTCACAGGGCGGGCTCAATTATGTGCAAAATGACATCCATTTTTCAGAGAGTTGCAGGTGTCCCATGTCTGAATAAGTTTTAAAAAAACACCCCATATTTTGAAGAGCACGGGTATGCAATTTTGATGTTCTTATTTATCGCAGTATTTTTTCAACCATTTCTCAGTTAGTCTTTATCATGTTTATTTACACCACAGATGACAACAAAATTCAAAGCAAGAACAATATTTTTTTTCCGGTTCAATTATCTTTTATTCACAATTTTCTTTTTTTCTTCATACTTTGTACAAGATAACAACAAAATATTCTATGGTACAACATAATTACCCTTTTTTTTAAAGTACAAATAAGTGAAATAATAGTACTTCATGCTTTGCATGATTGTTATTATCATTCCTCCACAAAGTGGAGAACAGTTCCATTTCAACAACATAATTAAGGATAAAGGAATGCATGATGTAAAATCAAATTCAGAAATGGTGATTTTTTTTTCTGTAGACCTTTTTATCAAAAACTATTTGTCATCTTTCACAACCTTGCCTTAACCAACAAATCCTGCACAAAAACATTTGGATGTAAACAAAACCAAGTTAAAAAATATTAAAACAAAATGAAACTGACTTTTTTTTTGGTTAAAAAACCCCCAAAGCAGATATTTTTTTTAGCAACAACAGTCTAACAGTCAAAACCAATCATTTCCTTTGGCTTTTTCTTCTATTTTTTTTTTTTTTTCAATTTCTTTTTAAATTTTTAACCAAGGGGTTGTAAGAATGTCATTTCAAGAGTGCAAATTTGAGTGAACATACCTGTATGAAGTATTATAAAACCCAACTTCAGTTCGGAGCTCAAATTTCATGGCTCTCCCAACCACACAATTCTGGCCTTTATGGGATATACATAGGGCCGGATGAAGTGTTTCGTAGGCCCCAGGCAGTGTTCCGTTGGCCCCACTGCGCCCCTTACACCAGCACCAATGTTGATGTTGATTTGATGTGGATGCTTAGCTGTGCTAAGTGACTTATAGCAAGCAAGGCCACTGTGATATTTTCGTAGGCCTCCACATTTTCGTAGCCCCCTGAATTTTTCGTAGGCCTTTTTTTCGCACCGTGCCTACTGTGCCTATTGGATAATCCGGGCCTAGATATACATGTATAACCTAATTCGAAACCCCTGGAAAAGGCCGCTGTTTGCAAAAAATTTTATGAACCCAAAATTGGGCCCAAAAGTTTGAGTTATAAATTATAAGTATGACAATATCTTGAATTGGTTGATGAAATTAGCTTCCCCGATAATTTTTGTTATTCTTCTGAGTATAAGGTTGCACATTTTACATGAGGAAACTGAATTCTTTTGAGCAAAATTCTGGTTGTAGAAATTATCAAGAAATTAGTCACATGGAAACATTTCAAAATATTTATGTCAAGTATTTTTCTGAAAATTAGAAGCAACGCATCTTTTACAAATGTGAGGCATTATCACTCAAGACTTTCAGGCCAATATACTGTTCATTCTGAACGTGAGTATACACTTTCCACAAAATATAAACAAAACAAAAACTTACGTGCCAACTGCAGTAATAAAGCAATAATAAAGTAAAAATAATCTGTTCATCTGCCATAGCATTCTTTTAACATCAAGTTTGTAAAAAGAGTCCAATTCTCTTTGCCCATCTTTTTACTTGCCCCTAACTAATGCCCTGCATGTGGCTGTGATTAACTTGGAATTCTTAAGTTTGTGATTCATTTGTTCATATTGATGACTTCTTGGGCGCCTTTAGATATGCTTGGGTAATGGCATGTGCAAAAACAAACATAAGCACCGTATCGTTGCTATACGTTTCTTCTTTTGGCTCTGCTCAAAGTGATTTTCACAAAGTTTTCTGAATGAATTCCTATCATATGTGCAAAGAAATAAATGAGTTTTTAATTTGTTTTCACTCTTTTTTGTGATGAGACATTAAAAGGACACTAAGAAAATAGGATTTTTTTTTTCTAATTGCGTTTTACAAATAGGCTATGTGGATTGTCACAAATCCAAGCTTTCTTTAATCTGTATTTTAATACCACTGTATTCCAAATCATGATTCTGCACCCAAGTTTCTAACTAATTCTACAATTTTTTTAGTGATTTTTTTAGTGGAGCATGCAATGCCATCTTTTTTTAAACTTCACTTCACACTTCGAAAATTTGTTTTGTTTGGGATTATCGCACATGTAAGGCGAGAATGCAAAATCAAACAAGTGGTTACTCCAGGTCGAACCCCGAGGTTCCCTGAAAAACCTTGTAAAACCTTGAGGAAAACCTCAAATTTCTGCTGATTAATTTCGCATTCTCTCTTAACAATCTGGTCAGAGTACACACTGCCTTTAGTCCTTATGCCTACTCTTCTTCTTTTTGGCCTTCTTGTGTTTGTGCTTGTGGGAGGTGTTCTTCTTAACCTTCTTGCTGGTCTTCTTGTGCTTCTTATGATGTTTCTTGTGGTGTCGCTTGCTGCGTTTCTTCTTGGAGCTCCTCTCCTTGCTGGGGCTGCGGCTGGGGCTGCTCTCCTCACTGGAACTGCTGCTGGTCTCATCTTCCTCCTCTTCCTCACTGCTGCTACTGCTGCTGCTGGGGCTGGTGCTGCGACTGGGGCTCTTGCGCTTCCTGGACTCCAGCTTCTCCTTGGCAGGACTGACTCTTCTCTGTCGCCGCTCGGGGCTCGGTTTCCTCTCCCTGGGCGGGCTGGCGGGCCGCTCCCGGACGGGGCTACCCCTCCGATCTCTGACGGGACTCCGGACTCGTTCTCGCCTGGGGCTGACGATCCGTCTGTCCCTGCTGTGTGTCTCTCTTGCTGGGCTGCGTCTTCTCTCTCGAACAGGGCTGTGGCGTCTGTCTCGGATGGGGCTGGTATGTCTTCCTCTCCCGGGACTGGGCCTTCGCTCTCGGATAGGGCTGATTTGTCGTCTTTCTCTGACCGGACTTGCTCTTCTCTCTCGATGGGTGGGACTTCTATCTCGGCCCTGGACAATCCGGCCAGGACTGGACCTTCTTGTTCTCGAGGGACTTGAAGGTCTATTTGTTCTGGCGGGCGAGCGCCGTTTGTCCCTGGCTGGGCTGATGCGGCTGTCTCTGCCTGGGCTGCTCTTCCGTTCTCTTATAGGACTCTTCTTTCGTTCTCTTATAGGACTCTTCTTTCGTTCTCTTATTGGACTCTTCTTCCGTTCTCTCGATGGACTCTTTTTCCTGTCTGGTGCAGGACTGTGCTTTCTCTCCTTTACTTTAGGGCTTGGTGCTCTTATGGGGCTGATCTTTCTTTTCCTTGGTGGACTTGCTCTGTTGTCCTTCTCTTTCTTCTTTTCAGGACTTCTGCTTTTTCTGTCTTTGCTTGAGCTGGATCTTCTCTCTTTTGGGGGAGCTTTCCTGTCCTCAGACAGGCTTTCTGGTTTCTTGTCACTGATGTTGGTTTTCGCATCTTCCTTGTCGACTTCAAGCTCCTCTTCGTAATCTGGCTCGAAGTTCTCTTCACTGTGCTCCATGTTGAGCAGAGTCTTTGGGGATGGTGCGGCAGAGGGTCCAGGTGAGGGTTCAGACTCGTACTCGTCCTTATCCCAACGCGATACAGGTACTGCAACAGTTATCAACTCACTGTTGGCGCTCTCTGATTGCACGCTCATACTCCTTTCCAGTTTAGGAGTGGTGTCAACCTTACTTTCGGCATCTTGGATGGTGTCTTGGCCCTTCTGAGGGCTTAGTGTCTCGGTTTTTATCTTTGCCACGGTAGTATCAACAGACTCTGTCTCCATGGGTTCCTCTTTGACAGGCTCTTCTTTGACTTTGACAGGCTCATCTTTGACGGGCTCATCTTTGACTTTGATGGGCTCATCCTTGACTTTGACTGACTCTTGCGAGATGATGGGGGTGAGGAGTTCTGCTTTGATTTCCTCTGACGTTTCAGCCTGGTCAGCTGAGGTTCTGTGTACCTGGATAACACGACGTTGGTCTTCGACAGGTTCTTCTTCGATCTCCCGCTTAACAAGATGGTCATTTAAGTTGCTTGTCCCTGAATGGAGAGGACTCCCACCAGTGGAGCTGGTGCTGGAGTAATTGGCAATAATGGCTGGCTTGTTGGACTCTTCCAGTCCCGATTGCACATCTTTGTCTGTAGTCTTTGCTGTCTTGGTCCTCTTGCTCTTTTTGCCTTCCTTCTTGGATTTCTTGGGTGCTTTGATTTGCTCACCGTCACCGTCCAGCTTGGCCTTCTTTGGCTTGGATTCCTCTGAGGCAGATGTTTGCTCTGCACCGGTTTCAGATCTGGAGGCAAGCTTGCGTTTCTTTTTCTTCTTCTCCTCCTTGTCTTTGCTCTTCTTCTCCTTTGTGGTCTTGGCCCCTTCACCGTCCCCTGCAGCATTCTGCGAGTCCGATTCCGATTTTTTGCTCTTCTTGGTTTTCTTGTGCTTGGGAGATTTTGCTTTTTTGACAGAGTCTGCATTCTCTTTGGCCTCTTCAGGGTTTTCACCACCACCTTTCTCGTCCTTGATATCTTTTTTGTCTTGTGTCTTGGAGGTTTCTGATTTGTCCTCCTTGTGCTTGTGCTTATGTTTGTGTTTAGAGGTTGAATGTTTTCGCTCTCGTCCCTTATCCTTGTCTTTACTTTTACTTTTTTCCTTTTCTTTTTCCCTGTCTTTAGATTTTTCCTTGACGTCTCTCTCCTCTGCCCTGTCCTGTTCACCTCTGTCTCTGTCCCTACTCCTTTCTCGGCTTCGGTCCTTCTCCGAGCTCTTTCGTTTCTCAACATTCTCTTTGTTCCTGTCCTTGTCCCGGACATCTTTATCCCTTGACCCCGTTCTGTCACTTCTCCTGTGCCTATCTCGGTCTCGACTGGATAGGTTGTGTCTGTCCTCGGTCTCTCTGAAAGGTGAACGATTGGGATGGTTCCACACTTCTCTATCAAATGGTTCATCTTGAGGTTCCACAGGGGTAAGAGGGGGCCTGTCAGGGTACTCATTGGGATACTGGTTTCTGTACATGTTGTATTGTTCGTCATGCTCAGGGGGATAACCAGGTTCCCTAACGTCCGGTCTGATGTCTGGTCTCATTTCTGGTCTTGGACCAATATCGGGTCTGAATTCAGCCCGGTATTCGGGTCTGAAGTCAGGCCTTGCATCAAATTCTGGGCCATAGGGCTGCTCAAATCTAGGAAACCTTTCTTCTGGATAACGAGGGGGATAGGGGTCACCAGGATGTGGGGGAAGCATGAGGGGTGGTGGGTAAGGATGCATTGCTGGAGGTGGGGGAGGCTCATATCTCTGATCGTAACGAGGATCATAGCGTGCATAAGGCGAGTGATCTCTGTACCGAGGTGATCTTGGAGCTGGGTAGTAGGCGCGAGGAGGCGATCGAGATCTGGATCTCCGCAAAAATGGTCTTGGTCTGAGAGGTGCCCGAATCCTGGGAAAAGAGCGGGATCGCGACCGACGCCTCCTGATAGGGGAGCGTGACTGGCGTGGAGAGTGATCCCTACGACGTGGGGAACGGGATCTTCGCAATGGGGGCCTACGATTCTCCCTGGACCGGGAACGGGACCTTCGCCGGGAGGTTTTATGTCGTGACCTTGACCTCGACCTTGACCGTGACCTGGATCGCCGCTTGGCCTTTGTCCTAGATCTGGATCTAGAACGAGTCCGGGTTCGGGTCCGGCTCCGTGAGCTGGTGCGTGAGGATGATCTGGAAGAGGAGCCCAATGAGCTGGACCAGGAGCTGCCACTAGAGCCGGAAGACCTACTGCGGGACCGGGAGGATGCGTGTTGCAGCTTTTGGTCGCGCTGGTACTCCTTCAGGTGGTTAGCAAACTCGTCCATGGGGTCCAATTTCTTGGGTACCACTTCCCTGTGCTCAGCTTGTCTGTTGAAAAGAAAAGTAACAAAGAACTAATTTAATTTACAGATGAAAACATCTCCAGGAAAAAAAAGGTTTTGGGGGCTGTTTAAATTTTTTCCAATATAGCCAATGGCCAATTTACCCTGATGTGACTTCGCAAGCCTGCGTACACAAGATTTACATTTTCTTGTACAATTCTGGTAAATAAAAAATTGGGAATTGTTTTTTGGAAAAAAAGGTTGAAATTGCTTGGATGCATATTGACAAGCTTAAGCAGATATACATGTACATGTATACTGACTTAATAATGTTGCCAAGACTAAAATACTTACATCAGTCTCTCTTTCTCCTCATAAAATTCTTTCTCAGTCAGGGGTCTGCTTACAGGACCAGCAGGTATAGGTGGTGGTCCTGGGACTGCAGGTGGTGGGCCAGTCGGTCCAGGAACAATAAAAGGAGTTCCTTGAAGAGGATGTGGCACTGGTGGTCTAGCAGGTGGCGGGCCACCCACCGGCGGTCCATTCAGGTGATGGGGAGGTGCGTTCAAGTTTGGTGGTGGGGGACCTCTAGGTGGGGGTCCGTGGTTTGTTGGAGGATGCTGGACAGGTGGAGGGGGGCCTCTAGGAGGAGGCAGATGTGGAGGGGGCCTTGGGTAGTTTGGTTGAGATGTCAGTCCAGGTGGTGGGCCAAGGGGTGGCCGAGATCCTTGAGGTGATGGACCTTGATGACTAAGCGGTGGCTGTCCTTGAAGCTGAGGCGGGGGACGACTCTGAGGAGGTCCTTGGTAGGGGGGTTCCTGGTGAGGTGGACCTTGGTAAGGGGGTCCAGGAGGTGGCGGGCCTTGCTGTGGTGGAGGACCTCTGGGTGGAGGTCCTTGATGAGGGGGACCTTGGTATGGGGGTCTCAGTGGTGGAGGTCCTTGGTTGGGCAGCTGCTGTGGAGGTCGGAGTCCTGGAGGAGGGCCTCTTGGTGATGGGCCTTGATATTGGTGAGCTTGTTGAGGTGGGGGTCCATGTGACGGTGGGCCTGGAGGTCCGAAGTTGGGTGGGGGTCCACGAGGTGGGCCCTGGTGACTTGTAGGAGGTCCTTGGTATCTGGGTGGGCCTTGGTATCTGGGTCCAGGAGGGGGTCCCCCACGATTGTCCCCCGGGTATCTGGGCCCCTGCTGGTCCATTTGGTGCCTGGGCTGGTAGTCTGGTCTGGGAGCACTTGGGCGATGGATATACCTCGGCTCGTACGTCCTCCTGTCCTTGTTGACATTGAGGACTGGGACCTGATGAGTTGTCTGCGTGGGATTCAAACAAAATGAAAGACCTTGATGAGGAACTAGGAATATACCTTGCCCCACAATTATATATTTGTTTGGGCTAACCTAATATCAAAAGCTTTACATCAGAAATTTGAAGTCGGGAAAAACAATCCTGTGAACATGACTTTGTTTCTAAATTGAATTTTGTTTTGTTTTGTACCTGATCTGGCCTGCTGGTCACTGATGTTGCCGTTGAAGATGTCGAGGATTGGGAGGGCTGGGCCTGGGACGTGGTTGTCTTTGTCACGGGAGGTGCTGGTGTCGGAGCTGGTGTTGGAGCTGGAGTCGGCTGGGCGGGCGCCGCAGGAGGGGGCCTGGGCCTGGCCTGCCTGGGCACAATCTTCTTGGTGAAGCCAGTCTCGTGTTGAAAGTCCAATGCAGTCTGTAAACAAACAAGGAAGAAGTGCTCTTTTTTCGTTTTGATTCATGAGTAGGGATGTCAGGGTCTTGTTTATTATTAGAACCACTGCTAATCATGCATGGGCCTTTTAGGAGTGGCAAATTCCATGAATATGATGCTCTTCACAGAAATTTGCTGTGCACAGATAATGTTGATTTACAAGTACAAGTCAAAATATGCCTTGTTCGCATATGTTGGTTGTGACAGGTTCTAAGCGTATTTGTATTTTTTATTTGATCACAAACTGGACCCAATGTCTGCATTTGTGTCTTATCCCTGTTCACTGTAAAATTCATTAGCAGAGAATTATATAATTATTGAACCCTGCTGAATCCAACAATATCCACCAGATGGGTTGGAATAATTTTTTTGCTACCTGATCCAATTTTGTTGGACTCAGCAGGCTTGGAACTTTTCTGGTTGTTAGATTCTGTTGAATTCAAAAGTCTCTCAAAGAGAAGTCTGAAGGAAATCTGGGTTTTGACAAAACTGGTCTCAGTCTGCTAATGTTTTTGAAAAGGACTACATAAATTACATTAATGAAAATGAAAAAATCGCTTTGGTTTTAGGCCCTGTTGACATTGTCTACACACCTGACGGAGCACTTTGTTTGGGCAGAGTGAGTTTGGGGAGACGTCTGTTTCCTCGCATATTGGGCACTGGTGGTCGTCCGTCTCAAGGAGATAATCTCTGATGCCTGCAGAATGAAGCAATTCAATCACTATCAGTTTTAAGTGGCTAATTTAGAGCCGTTACTATTTTTTATTGTCACATACTGCTCATTAATGCACTTTGGGCCAATCGGACGAATAAAGCAGACATATTTATTCAATATTAGGTTTTGCCCTTTGCGATGCAAAAACAGTCGGTGAGTGACATAGCCTAATACTGAATTTACATCACCCGATGCAAATTCCGTCTTATAAACCGAATTTTTTTAGTAAGTCACATTTTTTTGTAAACACTTAGTTAATTTCCACAGATGTTGCGAACATGTAAACAAAAATGGTTCTCATCATGCTCGCCTTTTCACAATTGTTGTTTTTCATTATTTTTCTTCAATGCATCATTTTTTTTCAACATGCATACAACCTCCCCCCCCCAAAAAAAAACACCCTAGGCCAGTTCCTTTGCCATTTCAATCAGGGACGACCGGTATCCTATGTCAAACGTTAGAAATGTTATGATTTTCGAAAACTCGTTCTCATGGATGAGCTACTCACACTCATCGCAGAAGCTGTTGCCGCAGCATGGGATGAGCACCGAGTCCGTCATGAGATTTTTGCACAGCGGACACAGAAGCTGGGCCGGGATCTCAATCTTCTCCTCCTCGGGCTCGGGCGAGTTGCTCTTCAGGAACGGGTGCTTCTCCTTCTTGATGGTCTGGTAGGCATTGCTGTGGGGAATACGGTACAAACTTGTTAAGGATGCAGGTCATGTCTTTGCACAAGATATGGTGAACTTTCATTAGAAACTGAAACTGGGACATGTGTGTTTATGTATGGACTGTGTGAAGATCTACTGCTGCTTCGCTGTGTGGCATCATCTCAAAACTTAGTATTCCAAGAACATGGTGCACATAACATTCTTTAACCCCCCTTTGCAAACATATATTCTGCGGCAAGTTGTCCTTGTTGTGACTGTTTTCAACCCTTAAGAATTCCCAGCCCACACAAAGCAGGATCGACTGCCTTGGACTGTTTAAGTAACTTGATACAGCTATGCTTTGACTCCAGGCAAGTGATAAAACAGCTGTGACCACAACTTGCCTGTTTTGTCTGTTGACCCAGTTTGACTAGTCACAGTGCTTGCTTGACATTATGATCTGACTGCTGGTGACTAGCCTTTGTTAAAAGTATAGCAGGGGAAGTGGAAGTGAATTTCGACTGTCTGTGACTGCTTAAATAGCAGGAGGGTAAATCTTTCTCCATTTATCACCACTCAAGGGATAATTGTGCTCAGAGTCTATACAGTTTGAGCAGATACATTCCATGTGTCACACACAATAAAGCACTGACTCTGACTCTTGTCATTGTGATTCCTATGGAAGACATGGCCAAGGTTCACAAACTGTACAAATGTACTATAAACTCCTAGTACACATAAACCCTTAAGGTCACTTATATAACATGAATTTGAGCTCCTCTGGTGAGCCTTTTACCGATTGAAAGGAAAAGCTGGGATATTCAGAACAAAAATAACTTGATGTTCATGAATTCCCTTAAAAAAAATCCGAGGTTTCAGGACTCAGTAGGAGGTTAACAGACAGTCCAACTTCCTTACAAATGAGGGGAGAGCCACTTACTGGTCTATTGTAGGCACGGCATAGTGGCCCGAGCTGGTGAGCTTGGCTCCTTTAATCGATGGGTCGTTGACGGTGGTCATAAACTCTCGGGGTATTCCTGCGCTGACCCTGGGATAGCGGTATTGGTTGTAGGATGGCCGAACTGGTTCCTGTTTCAAGGGGGCAAGGAAGACAAACACACGTTGTTTTACTAATTCACAGTCGATGTCGCAGTGGCAATTTAGGGCAATAAAAAGTATGATGGTATGGATGGATAGGTCTCTCTAAGATGGCCATCTCTGTAGGGGAACTGCAGCTGCGTCAGGCGCGGTTCTAGAGCCAATATATTTTTTTGGGGGGGGGGGGGGGGCTAGCAGGGTAGATCCAGAATTTTTTTTAGGGAGGCGTGCTGAAATGTAGACCGGTTATTTTCTCCGGACACTTAGGTCCCCCTAGCCCCCCAGTAGAACCGCCACTGAGATGCGTATTTTACGCAATCAAGTATGCATTGCACAGTGTTGAAAATGTTTAAACGCGCGCTTGTTGCTCAAAATGTGTTGGAAATACGACGCAGCTGATGCACGTTATGCAAGTTGACGCTCAAAATGCGGATGCACGTGGCTGGTCGGTAGGAAATGACGTCATTTGAGAGAGACCTATATACATGTATATTATTTTTCAGCCTTACCGGTCCTCTTTGGGGACAGTCACGAATGAAGTGTCCCGGTTTCAAACACCTGTGACAGGTGTAGGTCTGTCCAGGACGGATGTTACCACCTCCACCGTACCTTCCACCATACCGCTCATATCTTGAGGAAAAAATGTAAAAATAAAAGACGTCAAATCACAAATCAGGTCACAAGTAAAAAGAGCAAGTTGGACCACACATAAAAAGTGCATGAACTCGTTTGTTTGCACAGCATCCCGTTTGACTTAAGGCTGCGAAGCCTTGTGATTGGCTCGTGATGACAATGTGATGACAATTAATACAATGTCGATGACCTATCTTCAACAGGTTAATAATTAATATTCAAGTGAGGAACACTCTAAATCTACCTTTGGGATGTACACGTTTACTACCTGTAGACAACCATAAAGAAATATCCATCTACTTGGTTATTTATTTTTTTTTCTAAAAAAACTTATACTCCACCAACGCTAGTGCACATCACCTAGGATTTGCACTTGTACTATTTTTTTTCCCAAGCTGAACAATTCTCAGGTAGATTCGTGTTTGGTTTGTAAAAAGAGCATTTCGTTCACACATGATCTTCTTGAGCAGTTAAACGTAATTCTTATACTTACTTGGAGGGATCGTACTCGTGACTTGATTGGAACAAAGCAGCCCGGATTTTGTCATCTTCCGAGGCATTTGCATTGGCAAGGTCTGATGTCTGTTGACAGTAAAGATAGGTCAGAAATTTGCTGTTATATGCGTCAAGTTAAGGACTAAAATATGTGTCCTTGGGCAAGGCACTTCGCCCTGCTTGCCTCTCTCTGCCCTCAAGTAAAAACGGGTACCTGTAGTTAAATATTTAACAATTGTTGACTGCTGTGATGTGGAATATGACGTTTTCAACACCCGAGGGGCACATAGCACCCTAGGCAAAGCCAAGGTTGCTATGCACCCCGGGGGATTAAAAGCGGCATAACCCACATCACAGCAGTCAACAATTATTTTGTTATATATATCGTGCCAATAACTCAAAAGGACAAATGGTTGGAACATATTGCCCGAGAAATAAATTAAATCACTGCGATGTAACCTTTGATAACTGAAGGTTTTTATGTCCTGCCCATAGAGCTATATTAAATTACTAGAGCGTTGACTCGTGTACTAAGTGATGCCTGGTGGGCGCATCCAATGTTTGTACACAAACTTATGGAAAACTTGAAATGTTGTACGGCTTTTGTACGGCTATTTGCATATCTGCGTATATATTCTATACAGGTGCGTTATCAAAGCCGATATGCCCAAAACCGAAACGCATTATCAGCAAATGAGCGTGTCATTTTACTCTGTGCGAACAGCGCAACGCATGTGCGTATCCGCTGCAGATGATCGACTGTGCATTTTTTTAAACCGTAGTGAGGCTCTTAAGTTGTTTGCGTATGCTCTACTTGCGCGTTGCATGTAGAGTACACTTTCAAAAATCATCTAATTTCATAATGTTCTACAAACACGCACATGAATTCCAAATGTCTGTGCCCAGAACGGCTTCAAAGCTTCTCAAATGAGCAAGAATGAGGAGTTAGCGCTCTAGTAATTTAATATAACTCTATGGTCGTGCCAGACACGAAACTGAGCGTTTGACGTTGCAGTTCTCATTGCGCAAAGCTAGCGCGCATTGAGCACAATGCGATATCACCCTCAGTGTGTGATGCATTTATATTGTCCAGACACATGACCGTCCTAGACCAATGAAATTACAGTATCCAAGCACACGATTTAACAATCTCGGTTATTTCATGCCAGGGAAACCAAGGACAAACACCGACTCAAAATTGGCTCTATGCAACTGTTGTAAAATACACCAATCTTGAGAGGACATTTAAGTGGCTTTTGACATTGCAAAAGCAAAAGGCAAAAGCTTGCTATTGAGTGGGACATTGGCAATGTGAATAAGTTGTTAATTGGACTTGAACAATCCGCCTGGCTTTGCTGATGAAAAAACAATACCTACCTTCTTAAGTTGTTCAATGGTCATTCTAGAAGCATCTTCACCCTGCACAAAGTGATTAGAGATTGAAAGAAACATGGTTTCGCATATGACACTGTAAGGCAACTCAGACAATATCTATATCCGTATGAAGTCCATTTTAAAAGAACATCATTAATAACTGAAGAAAACTTCAAACTACAGACAGAAATTTGGAGGTTGTATGGTGTTAAAAAAAACCTGAAGCGGTTACAGTCCAAGGATTTTCGACAATCTGGACAATTATACGCAATTTGACAAATTCAATTTCAAACTTGTCAACAAATTCAATCCAGGGTGAAATTTCTATGCTTATCAAACAATGTTTCATGCACTGCAGACGTCACCATTTTTTAGTTCTTCGGTACTTCCTGCAACTTCTCTGAAGTACGCATTGAACGGCATACTTTGCTGCACTCTTTAATTTAAGAATACTGAGAAAGTGAAGGGTCCTGATTAACACAGACACATAGACAGACAAAGACAAACAGTTATACCAGTCAGCAAAAACGGTGCCGCCATGACGGTCTGATTCCTGGACTCGTATGGTCATCAACCGCGTAATTCTATCAAGCCGAGCAAGTAGTACGAACTAAGCAAAAAACGCCAGACTGAAAACAGCTTTATATCTAGCCATGGGATAGATTCAAGCCAGCGCGTCACTGTGACCATGACCTTCAATGCCAAACAACTTGTGTCCACTCACCGTGTTGTTCTAGTACTCGTACTATACTTGAGTATAACTCAAGTACTTTTTGAAATTTCAAAATCCTCGGACTCGAATTCACGGTACTCATATACTCAGAAAGCAAAGTACCCGGACTTGACAATCCAATAACGTACTCCATCACAGTACTTGTTCTCAAAGGAAAAAATCTAGTAATTTAGTTTTGAATGAAAAAAAAAAAGGTGATCCACAGATTGCGTGTCGCATCTTTCCGAGGTTGATCCCTATATATGTTGTGTCAAATTTTGTGCATTTTTAAACGACCTCAAATGACCCCTAGATGACCTTTGACCTTTAATTTCAAAAGAATTTTGATGAACCCCCTACCCAAGGATCACTCCATCCAAGTTACATTAAAATCCATCAAATTCTGTAGACGAAACATTTAAGCCGATTTGAAAAATGACCTCTAATGACCCCTTCATGACCTTTGGCCTCAGAAATCCAATGAAGAATTGTGTCTTCCTACCCAAGGGTCACTGCTTCCAAGTTTCATCAAAATCCATGAAAGCTACACTTTTTTTTCAAAACTTTAATACATTAGGGTCTATGGACGTTCCAGCATGGGAGTACACACCAGAGCTACCTATGGGGTACTGCACATAAAGGAAAGAAAGGTGTTGACTTGTACACTACAATTTTTCCTTTAACCCTCCGACGCAGAAACTAGCCCTTTTGGGGACCCAATTTGGTTAATTACCTTAATAAAAAAAAAATAATTCCAACCAATTCTGGTGATCTTCCATCTAATCCTAGCCAGAGACACCCACTACGGATATATGCAGTCACCTTTAGTGTGTGACCCCGGGTCAGGCATATCTGAGCCTGACAACCTGGGCTGCCCATATACACGTGCACAAAACAAAGTCACTTGCGGGTAGCCAAGAGCACGACTTGACCACAGACTATGTATACAACATCTGTTTCCTGTCAATGACCTCCTTATTTATAGTCTACAGACATGTCGAGATTGTGTACATATAGATACAGTGTTGTGTAGCCTCAAACCAAGGCGCTAAATATCTGGGTCCCCGGAGGGACCCCTTACTGTAAGCGTGTTAGTAAATGGGCTTTCTGCGTCGGAGGGTTAAAAGCGGTACTCCTAAACCCCAGAAGTAAATTCTAAAGAAAAGGGATATAAGGACAGTAATGCAAGTACCCCAGAATGTCCGTAATAGTCTACGGACGTATATGGGTCTACGATCATACAGAATTAGGACCAGTAAGTGTCTCCCAAAATACTGTTCAGGCGACACAAAAATCATTATTTTTGTGCTGTATGGCAGTACATGTACATTGTACATGCATTGGCTTTCAAAAAGTCTTGCTCAAAAATACATCCATGTTGCTGAATATGTGGTTTCAGTTTCCACTCATTACTTGAGATTTTCATTGTTTTCACTTGAGTACTCCATAAAGTACTCATACTCGTACTTGAATGTCCACGAACATGACTCTGGTACCAGTACTCGCTTTTAAGGGTCAAAATATTTGGATGCAAGTGGTACTCGATAGCCGAGTTCTCGGCAGTACTCTACGCTCTGATGTTAGTACTCGACTACATCACTGCCGCAAATACACTAATAGACACAATTCTCATGTGCACATTTACTGGAGCACTGAGCCTAGGCTATGGATGGTATGAGGTTGATCTCAAGTCTCAATAAACAAAGCATTTTGCGATGCTTTGATAAGGTGGGAGACTGATGAGCCCACATCTGCAACCTCTTTCGGTATTTCCCAGGACTCTCCCCCCCCCCCCCCATTTGGAAAATCTTTTATCTGGAAGGTGTTCCCATAAGATGCTTTCAGTAAGTTGGAAAACACATTGTGTGTGGACTAACTGGTGACACAGATCCAACAAAACCATCCATTTTTACATTTGAAAATGCTCAATAGTTGGCCACACTAACATAAATTTATGGTTAATAAACTCTGGAGTTATGAACTAAGTGTACCTTCAGCGATAGAAATACAAAAATGTACCAAAAATGGACACTTGAGATATTGCTGCCTTGTGGGACAGCTCACTTGTGCGTCATACTGAAAATGTACACAAACCAGTACACGTGCATGGTGTTTCTATGAGAGCTACCTTGTGGGGTACTTGCACAAACAGAACAAGGGTACTCCGCAAGTCAACCTTTGTCTTAGGAAATTCTAAGAAGAGGGAAAAGACAAGAGAAACGCAAGCACTCCATAAACCCCATCCATAAGGTTTGGGTGTCTTTACGTGGGCATCCATTGTATTTAGATGGGTCTCACAAGCAGCCATCGTAACAGAACACGATTCAGTCGAGATGGACTGTGTGCAGGAGTATGCCCTCAGTGGTACAAGTCAGAATTATTAACCCACACTTAGACAACATTCAAAAGATGCGCGCAAGCTGGAGTGTTACTCTTGTGCAGGGACGTTACTGCTGGGTAACTAGCATAGCGCAATCTAGATTTCCTACACAATTCCATGATTAATTGATAAGCCTACATTAACCTAATCCGAAGCCTTGAAAACTGCCCCACCAACACATTATTGGTGTCATCTACAAGCATCTTTAAATGGACACACAAATTCCAACAACATATGGGAAACTGCGTACACACATTACTATGATTCTGGAGGTGTGCCAACCCAATATAAAAAGACTGTCACTTTAGGGGTACTGTAACCCATCCTGACAGATTCCAACAAAACATGCCGTTGGGGTTTGATGGGTTGAGTTCTGTTAGGGTTAAGGATGGAAAGTAGGTAGCTGAACTAGTAAAATGAAAACTAAAACTAGAATGGCCCCTAAAATCTCCTCCCACTCCTCACTTGCATTGAAGTTGTTATAAATATGATATACATGTATCTGTAAATTGCTTGGACCTAGAACCAAAATAACTTCCTTTTCCTAAAGGAAATCAATCAGATCTTTTTTTTTTTTTAATAACTTCCTTACGACAGGAAAGCCTATTCATCTTGCTATTTTGTCCCACTTTCCAAAATGGCAACATCGTTCCAGGATCAATTGGCACCAACATTTACTGAGGAACCCTTTACCCCAAGGTTTACAAATCATCTCCTGAAATTTGTTTTCCTTCTAGTTTCTTAACGTGACATGACCTTTGACCTAAGAGCAGAAAACCAAAATGTTACCAGAATTCCATAGAGCATTGCTACCCTGAAGACAACTTATCCTCTAGAAAACCCAACAGGGTGGACAAAGCTAAAAGAACAATACTTTTCCAGCCCTAAACACTGATGTGTAGAAGTGAAAATTACTCCCAAAAAAATCTACTTTAAAAAGTTTTCAAAGGGGGGATTTTGTACCTAAATGAATTCAATGAAAAATATCAAAGCTACGTTATGATCGAGTTAAAAAATTATGTTGCTAAGCTGTAAGGAAGAACAGTTTACAAAAAATAGCACAACAAAAAAATCTTGAGAAGAACTAACTTGTTTCCTCTCGTTTCAGTACTGATCATTTATTTCGCATATCACTCATAGATATATATTTATGCATAAAAATAATGTAGCAGCTTTTACACCATTGATGACATTATAAGTTCGTAAATCAATGAAACTTTTGTGCTTGATGTAGTATCACGTGAAGAAGGAATCACATGAACATTTACGAAAATTATTTAAAGTATTCAAATTTAAGTCATTATTAGAATTTCTGTCTTTAAATGAAGCAGGGCATGCAATTTGAAAAAGCATGTACTGAATTGTACTTCACAAATAATATATTTTGGATAACCAAAACTGAGCCACGTACATGCTCAAGCCTGATCACACAAGAGCGCTCACATCTGAAAAACCTGACCTAAGCAGCGAAAGGGCGACTGGATTGTGAAAAAAGTCACCCTTTATAACACAATAGCATAGTAACTAAATGTAGATTTGGACATAATACCATTGCATGCTATTCTTATTCTAAAACACAAGAGGGAAACACAAGAAGTGTGCAATATTTGTCTACCGATTGTCAACACTGTGGTACAACCAATATTCATGAATTTATATAGAAACCAAGTGTCATACCCAATGTCAGTTTTATCTTGAGAAATACTACAATATTTATCTTGAATTGCACCCAATCAGTTACCCTGTCATTGCACAAAACAACTTCTTACTGTACTTTTACAATTTATTCAGACAGATAGAAATATGCAACAGTTAGTGAAAACCTTAGTTTTGTCATTGATGTTTTGTAATTTAGAAACAAGTTTGTTAGTAGCATGCAAAAAAAAAACACATTGCAATACCCCCCCCCCCAAAAAAAAAATTATTGTGATGCATTTTGCACTTCAGTGAAAAGTTTGTCTACAAATGTACAATGTAGTTCATTCTGGCATTCTGTACAGACAAGGTTTAACTACAGGCCTGGAATGACAGTGGCCATATTTGCCATTCAAGTGTTCCGAGAAAATGCATTTAGTTTGATACACAAGAACAACTGCCCTTGGCCCAATAAAACCAAATCATTCCAGGCCTGCTCCAAGAAATCTTTGTGTGAATTCATATGGTGCACTAACTGCACTTGATTTTCATTTTTGACAAGTACTCTTTAAAACTTGGCAACTAGTATGTCACCAGAAAAAAAACCTTGGCAACTAATATGTCACCAGAAAAAAAAATGTGATGAAACGCACCACATGGTTTACATCACATTCTACACGTAGGTATGTAGGCATTAAGAATACTAGCATGGTTTCATCATTCTTCAACACCCATTATAAAATTACCACAAAACCACACATTATAAAACTCCCACAAAAAAATAAAAATATTTGCATACAATTCTTCTGCAGCATTGAAATTTACCAAGCAACATCCAACACCATAAATGCTTTTAAACGTGTAGCTCTGTGAAAATAGCTTTTCATGTCATTTACTGATCATACATGTACCAGCCAAATGCATGTAAATTTCATATGTTTAATTGCTCCTCTGATATTAACCATCCTACGGTCTTTTTTACTTCAAACATGACAAAATCCGAATTACCGTTAGAGGATTGTTATGGTACCGTACCGTCTGGACCCTCCAAACACCGACGGCTTGGACAGTAGGAGCGTTAATAAATACAGCTAAAGGTAATTTTGTTTACTAAAAAATGTACATTTTTGGTAAGATCTGAAATTCATTCCAACTTGTAAATTGTGAATGGAATTGGCAACCTTTGTTAACAAAATCATTATTATTTGTGAGTCACTTTCTTTTAGTATACACACTGAAATGTTCACTACCAAAGTTGCAATTCAATTTCACAAGACTAACAGTGACATTGGGGAAAATGCGAGACATGACTGTAAAATACAGTAGCCTACTATAGTATATAGCTTCTTTCTAACATATCAAGAATCTTTCATGGGATAAGATCCATAACAAAATTGGAAAAAAAATTCTGCAACATCTTCCATGTTGGTCTCAAATGTCAATGGCAATTTACATTGTACTTCTTTCAATGTGTTGTGATTGCTATAGCATGTGAACTTATTGCAAAGGTACATATACTTCCAACTTATTGGAAGGTACTTCACAAATGCTTTAAAATGGACACACAGATATTTTCACCAACTTCTTGAATACATGCTCTTGGCAGTTCCTGGGTATCCAATATACATAGCACACAAGGAACTTTCATGAAACAAGTAACGTTCTCACACCGAATATTCCACTACTATCCGTAGTAGTGGAACACCTAACACAGCTTCACAATTTACGCATCCAGATCCATGTTGCGACACTTTCGATAGGCATCCCTCCAGCATGTAAAGCACAGTAGAGCATTCCAGACGGCAAACAGTTCTCAAAATGTTCATTACGGGCAAGGCAAAACACACGATGAAATGACGAAATCAAATCCACGGAAGAGATTAGAAATCGCGTCCATTTTTCAGCACAGGATTCCATTTGCTTTTCTGGCAAAGACGTTTAACGTGGTTTTCAGATCCATAGAAGCATGCAGAATTTAACTACTTGATGTCAAAAACTGCATACACCATTCTTCAATTTGAAAATCAACATAAATATACTCGCCATACTTAAAAGACATTTTGAATACAGCAACATAAATCACAGTATAATTACTGAACACAAAAATAAATAAAATCAGTGATTTAGTTCAAATATATCGTATACCAGGTGTAAATGTACACAATTGTGTACATTTCATGTGTACATGTACATTTGCTTTAACCCTAACCCTCCTCAATCCTCCAGGCAGTTTTAGAGGCTTTTTGCGGATTGAGGTTGTATGGCAAGAAAACGAGCCGGTTGATTTTGGAGGATGCATTGTGTTGAGTTCGTAGGCTGTACCCAGCATTGTTTATTTTCAGCCATGCACAATTGAAGACTGCATTATGCTCAACATCAACTGCACTGCTTCTGGATATCATCAGCACTGCCTCAACCCCTTAACAGTGATTGTTGGAGAATTTTGAAGGATGGAGGCAATGGTCACCCGTTCATTCAACAAATTCAATTCAAGAAATGACGGATGCTTTAGAAGGATTGAGGCTGAATCCAATTTGCACATGTTGGCATGTTGGCAATTGGAGGATTTAAAGGAATTAGGATGGTTCCTAGGGGGTCAGGGTTAAAGCACAGTCCTGAAAATGCTAGGAGGAAACGGTTGACATAAAACAATATATCAATATTTGAAACAGTCATTTGTGTTGACAAACTGTCTCAAGACAGAAAACCAATTGTTTTGATGTTAAGTTGTGAGAACCACTGGTAAAATTGCGCTTCTCAAAATATCAGCATTTTCTTACCAACCATAACAACTTTTTGCATGTAAATTAACTTCATTGTTAACAGTTTGACTACAATTATCAAGTTCAGACTTGAAAATGACACAAACCATCTGTTTGTTTGCTTGAGATGTAACAATCTATATGGTCTATATGTAGAAATAACAGCCCATTTTCAATGATTGTTTGCTGAAAAAAATAGGTGCTCTGTACTCAGCAAAACTTGTATCAATTAAAAATACAAATCTTCAAACCACACAAAAAGAAATAACATACATCATAACATGTATGTAAAAACCTACTCCAACTACAAGATCATGGTTTAAGCTTAAATTATTGTACGTCAATTATCAACTACTACACTATGCATACAAATACTTCATGAATAATTAAGGATATATATATGCCCTCATGCTCAATGTGAGCATACCACACATTTCCAACATGAAATTGTTATAGTTGTTAAATATTACCTTTTTTTGGTAGTAAATATTATATTGCTCAGTATGAGCTACATAGTACCTTTCGAAGGTATTTATGGTAAAGACAGAGTTGTCACAAATTGTGTTCTTAAAACCAATCATCACCAAAGTGCAATTGTATAAATCATGGTACATGTACAACAAAAGTACGAGTTCAATCTCACTAACCATGAATTGTGAAATTAGGGTCACGCTTCAAATATTCAAAGTAATATACGAAACAAACAAAACTTTCCGGTTCCAGTTAACAGTAGTTAATAACAACTGGAACAAAACACAAACAATTTGTGCTTGTTAAGTTATCAACATATTTGGTGCATGTATACACAGAACTTATATTGATGTGAAAAAATGGAAATAGATACTGATAAGGTAAATTATATCTTGTGCGATTTTTTTAAAATTTGTATTAGAAAAAGAAAGCAAAACTCATTACTTAAAAACAGAAATATATTAAGAAGGAAATAAATGGCTTACAGCAGGCCTACCTGTTACCGCAGCTAAGAATACCTTGTGCAAGATATTTCAGAGAGCACCTACTTGGTGGCTTGGGACTGATATAACACTTAGACACTGAGAAATGAAAATCAGAGTCATCATCATGACCCATACGTACTGGTTTCTGTTGGCTGTCCATCCTCGGTGGCTCCCTGTGGATAGAAAAATGAGAGATACATATTTTTTATTAACCCTCCTATCCAAACATTCATTCTTTAACAAGTAGTCCTTTCGGTCAAAATCAAACAAGTGACTGTTTTCAATAGTTAATTAAGAATTCCCAGCCTACATAAAGCAGGATTGACTGGCTGGGACTGTTTAAGTAACCTGATACAGCTATGCTTTGACTCCGGGTGAGTGATACAACAGCTGTGACCACAACTTGCCTGCTTTGTCTGTTGACCTGTTTGACTAGTCACAGTGCTTGCTCGACATATGATCAGACTGCTGGTAACTAACCATTGTTAAAAATACATCGGGGGAAGTGGACGTGATGTTTTTAACTGTCTGTGACTGTTTAAATAGCAGGAGGGTTAATCTCAGTCAATAAAAAAGATACTGCTCTACTGGCGAATTACTCAACGGAGTTTGGAAAATTTGCAGAGAAATTACTGTTTTGCTGGGTGTACACCAATACTTTTATCCTTTCATTGTTCCAGAATTAAAAGGACCTCAAGGCAATAAAGAAGCACTGTTGCATGCCACTTTAACAACCTGGTTCCAATCATGACTGTCTGTTTGGCACATGAAACCGCATCGTAAAATTCCCACAGGGTTTGAAATAGCAATGTGGTAGCCATACAATCTTGAGATGTTACACCACACGTTGGGAGGAAAATGAGAAAGACACTTGGTGGCAACTCACAAGCATGAATTCAACTTCTGATGCACAAAACTTTACTTTATGCTCGAGCTACAGTTAAACTTTGATTATTGGCTATGATATACTCACCCAACGATGTTGGCTCGGACTCCACCGATGGGAACTCTCACAATCACCACAGATGCATTTTTAGGGATCAGGGCGTCATTGTTACTATATTCTGCAGGAAAAAGACATGAACAAGATAAAATACTTTAATGTTTCAAGCCAAGGAAAATTCAGACAATTCATGTGTTTTTTTCCCCTGGGAAATGTAATTTTGCTTACTTTAGAAAATTCTTGGAAATATGACATGCAGTATACTTCAAAAATATAACGTGCCTGCATCTCTCAGCTGACATTAACCCTAACAGAACTCAACCCATCAAACCCCAACGGCATGGTTTGTTGGAATCTGTCAGGACGGGTACAGTACCCCTAAACTGACAATCTTTTACATTGAGTTGGCACAACTCCAGAATCATTGTCAGAAATATGTGTGTGCAGTTTCCCACATGGTGTTGGAATTTGCCAGGATGGGTGTGGTTCCTAGTAAATCTTGCTAGGAAGTTAGGGTTAAGAAATGTACCCAGGAACTACTAGTCAAGGAAATTTGTGCAAAAATGTACATACCTTCCCCAGTCTGTGCATTGGTAATCTGGAGATCAAACTCTGCCCTGGTTATTTTCTTCTGGGTGCAAATGGCCTTTTTCAGATCTGCCAGTGAGATGTGGAGTCCATCGAAGGTCACCGTGTCATACTCGATGCTGCTCTTGAACTTGTAGTGAACAGACGACATCCTTCACCCTCAAGTCTTCCGGCAAAGACACAGTGCCCTAAAAATTAGACAAGTATTGTTCATTTTTACAAACGCTTTAAAGAATTCCGCTTTAAACACCAATCTCAGCAAGGTTGAGATTAACCTTAATCGCCCTTTTGTCACCATGTTAAAATTGGATTCTGCCTCAATCTTTCTAAACCCTTTCTCGTTTTTTGATTCCTTCAAAATCATCAGTTATTTCTTGAATTTGATCAGTAGGGATGACCGCCGCCGCAATCCTTCAAAATCATCCATTATTTCTTCAGTTTTTCGAAGTACATTTTTTTCAAAGTACTTCCTAACAAAATTAGAAATGTTTCTCAGTCCCAGATTCATGTCTTTCAGTTTCAATGTTTTCGCAATGACTGACTTTCATTGAGATAATACATGATGGAAAAGTCGCATCAGGATGCAACATCATTTCTATTTTTTTTTAACATCAGATCAAAATCTTATTTTTTCCATATCATTAGCCTAAATCGTATTTATATATTTTTAGGAAAATGATGTGATAAAACAACATTTAACAATGAATACGACAAAATGCAACACGAAAGTAACATGAAAGATTGCAATCACAGCTATGCATGAAACCTGCATTAATTTCCATGGCATCAAATGAAAAAAAATTACATTTCTAGTAACAGCTGAAACGAAAAAGGAGCCCAAACTAGTATACAATCACCATTTTTAACAGCGCGCACTACATCATACATGCATACATTGCACAATCACATGAAATGGTACACATTGTTTTTGTGGTAGTTTTTGTTACATACAGGCTCAACATGGTCATGATCAACCTTACGAATACGAGACCAGATTTTCGTCCTTCCTTGGCACAAACAACACTCTCCAAAGTCCAATAATTATTAACAAATGTTACAATAAATATCTTACTTTTTGTTTGTCAATGTCATTATATAAATAACGAACGTCTTTCTTTCCAATCACTCAGCGTAACAAGAATATTGCAGGTTACCCCACTGGCATGGTCTTAGCCCCATAAATGTGGCCTATTTACTGGACTGCCTCCGTAAACATAGGCCACACATCCACATGTACAAAAATCGTGTCGACGGAGCCAAATTTTGATTTTCACATTTAGGCTTAGTTTGAAGGTTTTTTTTGCTTTAGAAGCATACTCACCCTCTTTAAAGGCTAATCAGAAAGTGCTGCCTTTTTCAGATGTCTAATTTTTGTGAAATTTCATGTTGAAATTTTGATACGCAAACGTGTAAAAATGAATCTGGAAATTTCACGAAAAATATTCATCTGAAAAAGGCAGCACTTTCTGATTAGCCTGTAAAGAGGGTGAGTATGCTTCTAAAGCAAAAAAACCCTACAAACTAAGCCTAAATGTGAAAATCAAAATTTGGCTCCGTCGACACGATTTTTGTACATGTGGATGTGTGGCCTATGTTTACGGAGGCAGTCCAGTAAATAGGCCACATTTATGGGGCTAGCATGGTCTACGCACAGAATCCCCTAGAACATCCCGATGTCATTCAATTCCATTCTCCATAGGCTAGCACACATAATGCATAAATGTATTGTTCTATATGCAGGCAGACGAAAGAAGAACGACATAGACAAATTTCTTACCAATTTTCTCAACCGATGTGGAGAGGATGTTCGCAATTTTACTGCGATATAAAAACCAGTGTCCTGTCCGTCATAGCTCGTAGATTTCGTCCTTATGAATTTCTCGAAGATACTTGGACGTAAAACTCTTTTAAGCGCCAGGGGAAACGTTGAATTTCTCAGAAATTTCCAATATTGACTTCCCCGAAAACGACACCACAGCGAGAGAGACAACGGGTTTCCAATCAGGCCGTGCAGGGCTTGGTGGATCATTCCATTCTGGTATCAAGGGATGACCGCAAAAACACAAGCTATGTGTTCATGGCGATTAAATCAAACTCAGATGTTTTTTGCCAAAACTATTTTTAAAAAAGTTAATAAAACATAACAACACAATCATGACAGAACATCCCGATGCCATTTATAGGTTTTGAATGGTGAATATAGTTATTCATAAAAAGATATTATTGCAATATATTTCACCCACGTCAATTAATTTTGGCAAGTTTGTAAATAGTAGATACCAATCATATGACTTTCGAGTGAGCCCTCGCGCGGTTTCCCGCGAAGATCAGAGACGTACGACACCTAAAATGGCGGACGAAGAAGAGAAGAAGTGACTACGACGATGAGTGAAGTGCAATTTTTAGGTAAGGATTGCGAGAGACTTCGGCAAAATAAGCACTATTACCGGAGTTGTACACTTGTTAGACAGTGGAAGGACATGACCTTGTTAAAATATAGCACTCGTGAGCTCGGGGTAGCGTGCATTCGTGAGCTGCAGGTGTTGAAATGTGATGTAAATAAATGAAAAGTTCCATTGCGTCACAGTGGTAACGTATGCAGATGCAGATTCGTATTGGAGGACTATTGCGCAGTGCAAGTGACATCATTGACAGCTGATTTGCGCACTGGTTGTGTGTTGTGATTTATTCATGTGTCGCGCGCATAGACAATCATGTCGACAATGCCGCAATGGGTCATGTTATGTATGTCACGCAGCCTAGACATATTTTTGTATATATTGCCAGGGCTAATCTTAATTCTTACACTAGGGCCTACCAGCATGACCAGACTACAACAAGTTTATACACCACAACAAAAATGTCACTTTTCAATGTCAGCTTTTTCAATTTTTTGTGAGATAGCATTAGCAAAACGTCAAATTCGCAGTATTGCCATTGGTAATGAATTGTTCAGTTGCTCAACTTGCTGACAACAAGCTGCTGACAATAATTCAACAGTATAGTATCCTATAGCCCCATAATGTGGCCAGTTTACTGGACTGCCTCCGTAAACATAGGCCACACGTCCACCATCTTGGAATCTGACTCGCCGAAATTTTGAAAGTGATTTCCACATTGCGACTTCAAATCCAGTTCATTTATGCTTTAAAAATACACTCACCCTCTTAATAACAAAATTAGAACCTGCTGCCAGTGTCAGTTGCCCAGCTGCTGCGTAATTTACGACATTTTCTGGACTATTCTGACTATTCCTAGGATCAGGAATAGTCAGAATCTTTTGGTCTGGGAACCGGACTACCACTGGGCCTGCGCCGTGCGTCCTGCACGCGTGATTGACAGGTGAACGAGTTGCGCGAGGGCATTGTTCAGTTAGACCATGGAGATAGCTCCATGGTTGGACCAAGTTGCCAAGAAGGATCCAGAAAATTTACGACATTTTCTGGATCCTTCTTGGCAACTTGGTCCAACCATGGAGCTATCTCCATGGTCTAACTGAACAATGCCCTCGCGCAACTCGTTCACCTGTCAATCACGCGTGCAGGACGCACGGCGCAGGCCCAGTGGTAGTCCGGTTCCCAGACCAAAAGATTCTGACTATTCCTGATCCTAGGAATAGTCACAGAGATGAAACTTTTCCGATTTTAATCGGAAAACTGACTTTTTGAATTTTCCAACGAAATTTCCGATTTTTTTACAGTGTGTCCCACAAAATTTGATTTTCTGATGATTTTTTCACAAAATGTCATTTTATTTCAATCATAATTTCGAAGAAAGTCGATGGAAATGGCGTGCTAAAATCATCGCGAACGTAGTTTTAATCTCTTTCACCAGTCGTTATTGGAGAGTTTCAACGGTAGAAACACAGGGCATAACACTGATCGGAGCCTTCTCTGGCTGGACAAAAGGTTAAACATTGACAGGCGACATGGAAAAATCACTGTGTCGCACGTGCGTGCGAATATGCAATGGTACCAGCGTGCGTACGTACCGCACCACCGTACCGTCCGCTAGCACATGGCCGGCCGGGACGGGTAGCCTTGTGAAGGATCCTGTGGATAAAATCATTATGTTGTGCGATTTTCGGAGGTTTCAGATTCAGTTGTACAAAATGCAATGCTTTAAAAATCATGATGAATATCTCGAGGATAGCGAAGAGAGCATTAGCGAAACATTTCACTGGCATTTGTTGGAAGAGAAAGACGGTAATGCCTGATTTTTTTCCCATGCATGAATGCAAGTGGTTGAATCATGGACATGATTGAAGCACCATGAACAGTGCCCTTGTCTTTCGGACTTTTCCCTCAACTTTCTCAAGTAAGAAGTGAACTTCTTTATTGATGACTCCATTACTCTAACCGTAATTCAGGCATTTTATGCAATGAAAACGCTGACCATTTTTTTTTCATGAAAAAAGTAAGACTGCTGCAAACTGCTTACTGACTGGGTGGACCTGAAATATATAAATCTAAAAATTAATGTGGCCTGACGTTGCGAACTTAGCAAGTTCTTCTTCAGAGGCTAAAACAGAAATGACAGAGGTACATACATTGACATGGGGGTGCACACAAACATGCAGGGATGAAAGAAGAAACACAAAAGGAGGATTAGGTGGGAAAGGTGTGGAAAGATGCAGGAGAGGGTGGATGAGAGAACAAAGAAACAAAGGGAGATGGCAAACCACAAGGGGTCTGGTATGAACAGGGGAGGGACCAGAAAGGGGAAGGATCAAAGGTCACAGGGAGTGGGAACGGACAAAAGAGTGTGGGAGTGAAAGGGGATTATGCGGGGGGGGGGGGGGGGGGGGGGGAACAGTATGGAGGTGGAAAGGGATGAAAGATGGGGAAAGATGGGTAAACACAAACAATGAAGACCAGGTGGATTATCTGTAACAGAAGACAATGGAGGAAGAAAAAAAATATTAATCATTTCCAAGTTGGATGTTGAGACCATGTGGTTGAATAGTTCGAAGACGATTCATCCACACTTTCTCTCTGCTGAGGCGAACTGAGTCCTTGCGATGGCCAAGAGATTCAATGCCCTGCAAAATCATATCAGAAATGGAGTGGTTAGGCAGGTTGAAGTGATGACCAACAGGGGTGTCTAGTTTCTTGGTGTTGACCGTAGACCGGTGGGCATAGAAACGCTTCTTGAGCGTATTCTTAGTCTCACCTACATACTGCACTCCACAGACCCTGCTTGCCAAGCAACAGCAACGCAGACACAGACGTTTCAGACGTCCTAGGTCCCCATCTACCACGCCACCGCCAGAACCCCCTGTCAACACTGTAGTTAATCTTTCTTCCTCATCAATATCTGACGCAGAGCACAAACTTCTCTCCAAGGGTCTCAATTTTTGTCCCGCTCCCCGTTCTGTGAACCAGGTTCAGCTCAGCCAAGATCTCACGGAATACTACCGTAGAATCCGTCTGCGTGAGTTTTTCCTGGACAGTGAACCGTGTGAGTCAGAGCCTTTTCGAGTCAAGAGTTCATGGGTACCCCCCAAGAATCGTGTGCCAGCCATAGAGACATACGTTCAAGTTATAAATTCCCAAGTCACTAACCCGGACAACTTCCCCCACAGGACTCATGATAATCTCCCCAGAGAGGAGCGCCTGGCTCTCAACTCCTTGCGCTCTCGCACCGACATCATCATCAAGCCAGCAGATAAAGGTTCAGCTGTGGTCATCATGGATCGTCAGCAGTACATTGATGAGGCCCACCGTCAGTTGGATAATCGCACTAACTATACCCGCCTTGACTCTGACCCCACAGGCACTTTCTGTCGAGATATACAACAGGTACTTGACGATATGCGATCACGTGACCAGTTGTCCAAGAAAGCTCACAAATTTCTTTCTCCCTGTGATTGTAGGACTGCCAGATTTTACCTTCTACCCAAGATTCACAAGGCTGGCAACCCCGGTAGACCCATCATCTCCGGTAATGGCTCACCCACGGAACGCATCTCCCTGTTCATTGACAGTTTTCTCAAACCCCTTGTCCCACAGATTTCGTCATACATTCACGACACCCCAGACTTCCTACGCAAGCTTGAAGGAATCAAGGACCAGATTCCCAGTACGGCCATCATTGGGACTTTCGACGTCTCATCTCTGTACACCAACATCCCACATGAGGAGGGTGTTCGTGCTTGCTCCTTGGCTCTGGCCAAGGCAGGACACACGACTCCTCCCATCAGTGATGTTGGCACCCTCATGAGACTTATACTAACGAAGAACAATTTTTCCTTCCTTGGTGAACACTATCTACAGGTACACGGCACTGCAATGGGCACTCGCATGGCCCCATCCATGGCTTGCCTCTTCATGGGTGACCTCGAAGAACGCATTCTTGCCTCAGCCCCATGTCGCCCTTGGATCTGGTGGAGATATATTGATGATGTTTTTTTCATCTGGACCAGCGATGAGGACAGTCTCTTGACCTTCACTAACCACATCAATTCCTTCCACAGAACCATCAAATTCACATCGGAGTTCTCGGCTCACCAAACCCACTTTCTGGATGTCACCGTCCGCAAGCAAGGCAACTCACTAACCACTGACCTGTATTCCAAACCCACGGACACCCACCAGTACCTCCACTCCTCCAGCTGTCACCCCAGGCACTGCAAAACTGGCATAGCGTTTAGCCAGGCACTCAGACTCAGAAGAATTTGTTCTAATGATTCCGATTTCTCCCGCCATACACAGATACTGAGGAACAACTTGGTGGCCAGGGGTCACAGCTCTCGCCAAGTTCATCGTGCCATTGCCAGAGCTAAAGCTATCCCCAGAAATCTAGCTCTCATGGGAAAGGCCCCTGATGCCATGGCCAAACCCATGATTCCCTTGGTTACCACGTTTCACCCCAATCTCCCTCCCCTTCGCAAAATCACTAATGACAATCATCATATCCTCCATACTTCAGATCGCCTTGCCCGCGCCATCCCCAACGGCCCCACATTGGCTTACAGGCGTCCTCGAAATCTACGGGACTTGATTGTTCGAGCTGAAGTCCCATCCTTAGATGCATCCCCTCCCACCCAGCATGGTACTTTCAAGTGCAGTTCCAGATGTGTTGTCTGCCAGATTCATATCCAGGAGTCTGACTCCTTTTCTGGCCACTCTTCTGTCACTACCCACAGAACCATTGGTAACATCACTTGTAACACCCCTAATGTCATATATCTCATTTCTTGCAGGGTCTGTGGAGTGCAGTATGTAGGTGAGACTAAGAATACGCTCAAGAAGCGTTTCTATGCCCACCGGTCTACGGTCAACACCAAGAAACTAGACACCCCTGTTGGTCATCACTTCAACCTGCCTAACCACTCCATTTCTGATATGATTTTGCAGGGCATTGAATCTCTTGGTCATCGCAAGGACTCAGTTCGCCTCAGCAGA